TAAAAAAAATTAACTTTCAGATGAACACAGCAATTTTGTCTTTGAAACAATATTTGTTTTGAAAAAAAACAAAAAAAAAAAAAAAAAAAACAACACCCTGATGATGACGTTGTGGTAATGACGAAAGTACACGGAATAAATATGTATCAACACGGTAATTTTCTCTCTCCCTTTAATAGAGACACCAAAAAGCTTTCATTTTTTAGAGCTCACATGAAATTATTATCTATGGGATGAAATTCTATACGAATTAGCATAGCTAATTCGTATAGAATAATATATCATATATATATATATATATATATATATATATATATATATATATATATATTAAGACATTTTCTATGTTTATACGTTCTTTTTATAGATACAAATATTTAAGTAAATGCTCTGTTTATAATAAACAGTATTATTGATATTTACAGGCCTGAATGTCCGAGAAATTTTCATAGAAAATATACATCCTCTGACTGGAATCGAACCCGTATCCTATACGAAACCGTCATATAGCCTGACGTGCTTTACCGATTGCGACACAGAGGATCGTTTCGGTTAGCAAGGTCGATATTACTGTTTTTAAGCTACAATTCTCCATGATTTCCTCTCGTACATTCATATCCGCTTGATGCGTATCCAAATGTAAACAAATGACGTCACAGATTATAAAATAGACAATGTCTGACAATTATTTTAAGATATTTTTATGTTTATACGTTCTTTTTATAGATACAAATATTTAAGTAAATGCTTTGCTTATAATAAACAGTATTAACGACATTTACCGGCCTGAATGTCCAAGAAATTTTCAAAGAAAATATGCATCCTCCGACAGTTTTTTGATGTCGTTATTAAAGGAAAAGAGAAAATTTCTCGGACAAAAGTGGTTTTAATGTCAGAGCATTACTCACAGTTGAAGGGCCTTTTACATTTCGAGTAACTATGACATATGAAATTAACCTTTAACATTCTGCAGTTGATTTTGTTTGAAAAGAAAAAAAAATATCCTGCAATTAACTCAAATGAATGAATGATAGCTCGTTTGAATTTTGCAGTTGTGTTGTCATATCCTGCTATGGCAACAGAAAATGACCATGACTGAAATTAAGTAGAGCAGGAGAGGATACTTGAAAAACAATGCAGTAGAAAGAAAAGTAGTGAATAATGCAGAGTGTTAAAGGTTAAGCGACTGTTATCATGACCGAACAATTACCCAGTGATGCATCCGGGGCTATTTTATTACTATTGGCAATGCGAAAACTGTAAACTGTACTGAGGGAAGATGCGTTCTTTTGATACCGAAGCACCGTTGTATGGAGGAAATACATCTTGGTTGTTATCATATAAATTTCAGTTATTTTCCTTGACAGAAGTTCGTTTGAGAGTATGCGTTTCTCTATTTTCGTCTTTTGGGACAGTTAATAGTTAATATATATATATAATACATATATATATATATATATATATATATATATATATATATATATATATATATATATAGAAGGAGTCACTATGCAATATGTTGTATTTTGTTGGGGGCGCGGGTAGGCTGAAAGGCGACAAACTTAGGGTCTCTACCGGGTGGTATACACTCTGCCACGGACGGCACAAACTCTAGCTCCGCCACTGTATGTATCTAATTGAAAATTATCTTTTTAAGTTTTTCTTTATTCTATTTTACTTGTGGGCAAACAAAAGATTTCTTTTTTGAAGATGTTGTATGGAGAAATTGTTCAAATGACTGTTCGTTTCGAGAGCTTTCCGCTAATTTATTAGCCATTTTGAAGGCTTTGGGGTGAGCGATTGCAAATATTATATAAGCTATTGGTACGTAGATAGGTTTTAATTTCAAAACACGGCCAAAACATTATGGCTACGTTTGTCGTTAATGCTATTAAGGTTTTTAATTATGTTTTTTTTTTACTTTTAGTTTTTTTACAAGTGTTCTATTATATTTAAAGTGTTTCCTACAGTTAGCTGTGTTTACCAAGTATTTTACGTATAGATGTTGGTAGGTTTTTGTGTTGATTTAAATGAGTTTTCTTTAGTTATTATTCAAGAGATGCAAGCTCAGCTGCCTTGATAGCCTAGTATAACAGACCTTGTGTATTTTTCTTACGGCAATGAATTTGTCATTTTTGTGCAAAATAGCGGTTCTAAAACATCAAACTGACAGTTACCATACTGTGTTGATACCTGTATCTACACTGTCTGTATCTATAAATGCTCCATTTCCGATATTGGGACAACAACAGCAACACACATTCATAAATACATACATATTGTTAAGAGAATATAAAGGATGTTTCATTAAGACAAATTATATATAAGGGTGTTTCATTAAGACGGATCAAAGTCAGCAGTAAATAAATCAGTGTTATTGGTGAAGATTTATTTATGTCTCTATTGGATCATGTTATTTAAGTCATGGCAATTATGTATGAAAAATAATATCGCCCAAATGTCAAATCTGAAAGAAAAAGAAAAACATCATGAGACGCTTAAACTTAATTCACATTTTAAATCGGTCCAAGTTATTGGAACACCCTTTATTTTTATGAGTTAAATTTTTTCCTAGTTCTGGAGGTCTTTCATCAAGGTATTCGTTTGTTAACGCCCAAATTAAGCTAGCCCCCTGGCGAGGTCAGTTGTTGCCGAAACCTGCTTCAGAGCATTTCGTTTACTACCATTACCATGACAAGTAAACTATACCCAGCAACTCCCGCCTGAAGTTATTTTGAAATATTTCTAAATTCGCATAGCTAAAGCGTGGGCCGCCCTTGAATAAAATGGATGTAATCTGGAAATCTGATCTCCCACGCAACCCCAAACGGAGATACTTTCGTGCCACTGTAGAGTCGGTTTTAATGTATGGTGCCACTATTTGAACATTAACTAAAACCCTAGAGTCTAAGCTCGACGGAACCTACACGTGAATTCTCAAAGCTATACTTAAGATCTCTTGGAGACAACAACCAACTATATCACAATTCTATGGACACATCACTGATATTTCCACAATCTTACGTGAACGCTGAATGCGCTTTGCATGGCGCTACCCGTGAGTAAAACAAGAACTTGCAAGTCATCTGTTGCTCTGGATACCTAGCCATGTCGCAAGACGGGTTGATCGCCCAGCAATCACCTACATTGTCCAATTACGTTATGACACAGACTGCCACCCTAATGACCTTCCGACCTTGAGGCAAGACTATGATGGTTGGTGTGATAGACTCATGAATGTTCGAGCAAGATCGATTGAATAATAAATAATAGTAAAAATACGTCTCTTGTGATCTCCGCGGTGGAACAATGATTAACGAACCAATCTCAGTCCTTAACCACTGTAATGAGGTCGATCCTGGTTTGGTTTGCTTCTCTTGTACGACGCCAGACTTATATGACGCTAACCAAGTGACTGGAAAACTAGTCCGGAAAACGTTTACTGTTGTAGCAATTTCGATCAGAGTGCTCTTCATATGTATCTCTGTGTTATTTTTCACCGGCGTCAGTGATTGGTGGGACCTCAGTACATTCAGAAAGATTGCGTAAGTCTTCTCTTGTGAACTTGGAACCACACTATGCTATGCTTAGTAAGAAACTATGTACTCTCTCTCTCTCTCTCTCTCTCTCTCTGTCTATCTCTCTCTCTGTCTCTGTCTGTCTCTCTCCCTTTGTGGCTTTCTTTGCTTTCTGTCTATCTTTTTTGTCTTTATGGTTTCATTGCCCTCTCTCTTTCTGGCTTTATTTATTTCGTTGTCCCTCTCTCTTTACCTTTCTGTTGTTCTATGCATCTCTTTGTTTTTCCTTTTTTTTTTTTCGTTGTCCCTTCCCATCACTCTCTACATTTCTTTCTTTGCTTTCTCTATCTACTTATTTTATTTCGTTGCTACTTTCTCATTGACTTTCTGCATTTCGATTCCCCTCTCTCTGTCTTTTTCTTTCTCTCCCTATTCTCTCTCCCACTCTCTGTGTGTTTCATTACTATCTCTCTTTTTCTACCTTTTTATCTCGTTATCGCCCCCCATCTATGTCTTTCTCTCTGTCTTTTTTACTTTCTTTCATTGCTCTTACTCTCTGCTTTCCCTTTCTGCCTTTTTTCTCTATGTTTGATATTCTGTATGTCCTTGCTCTCTCTCTCTCTCTCTCTCTCTCTCTTTGCCTTTCTGTCATTCGTTTCTCTTCTCTGCCTCTCTCCTCCTTCTACCTCTCTCCCCTCACTCTCTATCCCTCTCTCCCTCTCACTCTTTGCTGTTCCGTCATTCGTTTCTCTTCCCTGCCTCTCTCCTCCCTCTACCTTTCTCCCCTCCCTCTCTCTCCATCTTCCTCTCTCTATTTTCTCACTCTTTGCTTTTCTGTCATTCGTTTCTCTTCCCCGCCTCTCTCCTCTCTCTACCTCGCTCCCCTGGATCTCTCTCACTCTTTGCTTTTCCGTCATTCGTTTCTTTTCTCTGCCTTTCTCCTCCCTCTACCTCTCTTCCCTCCCCACTCTCTCTCACTCTTCTCTCTTTGCTTTTCATTCATTCGTTTCCCTTCCCTGTCTATCTCCTACTCCTACCTTTCTCCCCTCCCCCTCTCTCTCTCTCTATCTCTCTCTCTCTTCTCTCACTCTTTACTTTTTTGTCATTCGTTTCTCTCTCTACCTCTCTCCCCTGGCTCTATCTCTCCCGCTCACTCTTTGCTTTTCCGTCAGTCGTTTTCTTTCCCTGCCTCTCTCCTCTCTCTACTTTCTCCCTTGCTTCTCTCTCTCTCCCCCTCACTCTTTCCCTTTCTGTCATTCGTTTCTCTTCCCTGCCTCTCTCCTCCTTCTACCTCTCTCCCCTCACTCTCTATCCCTCTCTCCCTCTCACTCTTTGCCGTTCCGTCATTCGCTTTTCTTCCCTGCCTCTCTCTTCCCTCTACCACTCTCCCCTCCCCCTATCTCTGTTTGTGTATGTGTGCTTGTATCCGCTATATATACATACCACTGTGATGACCTTACTATTTGTCCAGTGCAAAAATAACGATTTCTTTCAATGACCACGTCTTTGATTAACACGTACAGCAATTATTTAATACGCTACCTACCGATAACAGGTGAAAGTGTCGTTAGTTCGATGCTCCTATCCCCAATCATAATTAAAAAAGGCAATGGTAAATCCACAGCACTGGCCCCTTCCCACCATCCAAATTAAATTAAGTCATCGAAAACGTCTATGAAGAACCAACACCTACATCCTACTCCCCTTGACTTTTGCCGTTCATCCAACTTTATCTCTTGATGAACCATTAAAAAACAAAACGTCAAGCTAAACTTGGCAACAGATGTGTTCAACGCTATTATTTCCAGCTCATTGTCGATCATTTGTTCCGTAGCGACGCTGGGCTTGTTTCGGAAACGCTGCTGACTTAAAAGCTGTGTTTCTTGACTCATGGATTGCAACCCAATTTGATTGGGAGAAAAAAATTTGCTTTTCAATAAAATCTACTCTGTCAAATATCTGTCTAAAATGAGGTATTGTAATTATTTACACTATTTACATTGTTCGAACTGTTGTCCTCATCTTCGTTGCCATATTCACGACGTTTCGGCCGTTGTATGCTCAGGCCTTCGTCAGGATATGTCTATATTTATGAGATGAGGTATTGTAACTATTTACACTATTTACATTGTTCGAACTTTTGTCCTCATCTTCGTTGCCATATTCACGACGTTTCGGTCGTTACATGCTTGGGGTAGACTGTTCGAGTTCCACGTGGCATGTTTAACGGGTGTCAGTTATCAGTTATCTCCTGTTAATTTCCCTCTGAAAGTTCTCCACTGCCTTAACCGGGTATTGAACTCTTTGGGTCCTGTCACTGGATTTAACTAACGTCTTTATCCACTGTGCCATGTGTCCTTGAGAAAAAATGTAGTGAAGAAGATTGTGTAGCACCGATTTTTCAAATGCTTGCTTGCTTTGAAGAAAGATATCTGTCTATATCTCAAAGATGAGGTATTATGATTACTTGCATTATTTACTTTATTCGGAATGTTATCTTCATCTTCATTGCCATATTCACGATGCTTCGACCGGAAGAGGCATGGCACGTTGAACTAGAATAATCTAACCTGGTCGACGAAATAAAGGGTTCGGTTCGAATTTCCAATTATTTGAAGAAGGTCGGTGTGTACAACGGCCGAAACTTTTTGAAAAAAAAAAAGTTTAGTATCTTGCCTTAAACTTGTTTTAGTATCTTGCCTTTAACTTAGGCTTGAAAATTAACTACTTGCACAAATACAAGATACACAACTATTTCGGCCACTAACCAGGTTATGTATGCCGTTTTGTATCCAAACAATTGATCGCAGCGATGACAACATTAGACAAGTACTCTGTGATTTGTCAATAATTGTTAAATCACTGTAGCAAGTGACCCCCTTTTGTGCGGCATGTAGAGACTGAAATGTCCTTAAGTTTTTTTTTCTCTCATTGTCTCATTTTTTGCTTTGGTGTTGAACATTAACCAAGACAACTGGGAAATGCGACTGGATACAGTATAAAAGTGTATGCATCTCTGAGCCTGTAAATCGGGGTCTAGTGACCCGGAAATACTTTGATATTGCTGTATTGATATTTAACTATTCTGTTCTGAAGCCGATGCGAGATCAATAAACCACGAACCGTAGAAACAATTAATTTATAACAAGTAAAACGGGAGCCGTACTTTAAGGGATAAATGCAGACAGCAATTCTGAATCTCTAAGGTGCGAACAGAACTGAATTTAAGCCAAAAGATTCGACTTAATAATAGTCAATAGAGACAATGATTAAATAGCGATTGATTGGTTTGTTTTGTTTTATGGCATATCAACCTCAATGAGTCATTTAATGCCGACAACATTTTTTTTTCTGATAATATTTTTGTTTTGTAAAAATCTATTTCTGTTAATATTTTTTTTTTCCTCAAAAATGTATAGGTGGTAATATTATTTTTCCAAAAACGTATAGCTGGTAATAATATTTTTTCAAAAACCTATTGCTGGTAATAGTTTTTTTCAAAAACATATTGCTGGTAATAATTTCTTTTCCTTCAAAAATTTCTGGTATTAAAACCCATTTTTACACTTTTATAATGTCTTTTACCTCAGTTTCTGGGTTAACTATTTGCCCATAGCTGGGTCCCTAACAGGTGCTACCACCCCGGGTCAGGGTGGACCTGTGAACGCCAGCAATTAAGTGGAGGTTCCACGCTCCTCAAAGCCTCCCGGTCAGAAGCCCTGCTGTTGGACGTAGTTTATCGTCTTACCATGGACGTGGATGTAGTTTATCGTCATACCCAGGAAGCATGGCGGTTGAAATCTTATCAGTAAGTTTCTGAGTCTTAAGTCTCGTAATTTAAACGACATTCTTCATCATGTTCTCTCTGTTTTTGTTTTTTTATTTTTTTTACAACGATATTCACCCTGTACAAGGCACAAGAGCTACTTGAAGTAGAGCGCTACATAAAGAAGCAGTTTCAGAAGTGTTATAGACAAGCGTATGGTTGCAAGAAGAAATACGACAACAGCAGAAATAGATTTACGTGATTTATTTCAATAGGAACGTGTGGTTTTGGGACAGCTACCTTGTGGTATAGTTCATAGGCCGGCTGAAGATCTGGGTTGATCTCTCATAGTAGTTCTCGCTGGTTGGCGTGGCGCTACTGCTGCTGGCTGCTGCTGACCGCTCACTCTGACCGTGACAGGTCTCTTCCCTGGCCTCCTGTTGACTGCCGCTGGCTGACCGTGACAGGTCTCTTCCATGGCCTCCTGTTGACTGCTGTTGTACTTCACCGTGTGACCCTTTTTATGGCGTTTTTATGGCTTAACAGGCTCGAAAAACGATGCGAGTATAATTAGGAGGCAATCATTTTTATTGGTCGAAAAATAGTAACACTTTAAAATATTTTATTTTTCGACCGGAACTCGTGCGTCGGGAATATGCGTAAACGATGATAATGGTCATTTTGTGACGGGGCTTTGTCCCGTTCACATCCGGCTCTCGCTCTTATGTTAGTTTATTTGCCTGCAAATCAGCCGAGTTGTTTCTTATTTTATTTTATAAAAGAAGGAACCGGAGATCCAATTTATAAGGGAAAAAGAGAGAGCCTTAAAGATGACCCAGGGTCTGGGCGTCCAGCAACTGACTCCACCGACGAAAACATTGGTCGTGTTCACCACAGGAAACAAGACAAATCACTAATCTTGTTCAAAAAACCGGAAAGGAGTGTGATATGAATGATATGTGAACCTATGTACTTCTATTGAGTAAAGGAAAAAATAATTCAATAGTAAATGAAAGTTCAAAGTCTTAGTCTGAGTTGAAGTAGACATTAAAAGGAACCGGAAGCCCAATCCTAAACAGGAAACAAGGGATAAACCTCTACTCTTGTTCAAAAGACCCGCGAGGTCTTTTAAACAAAAGAGAGTTGAAGTAGACTTTAGCAACCAGTATCTATATATTTTTTCCTTTCACCTGGTTTCCTTTTCATTTTTCTCTGATTTTCTTATCACAACCTACACTCTTTCCTCTTATCTTCTCCGCTTTGCCTTTCTGTACGGTGGCTGGCATTGTCTTCTAGCAGCGATTCTTAGAATATGTAGATTGAAGGATGTCACATGTCCCCACAATTTGAGTAATGGAATTTCCCATTCATTTGGTACCGACAGTTATGCCCTGTTTAAATTTCAATGTCATGTCACCTAGCCGGGGTTCTCCCTGACTTACCGAGTGTCAGAGAATAACTGATATAGGGCATTTCTGTGACTAGATACAGTGACACTCCAACCATTACATTTACATATAGGACTTTTGGCATATCTTTCTCTTTCAATGTTTATTGTCTCTCTATATATTTATCTACATGCACTACAAACATGGATTTGTAATGGTAGTGTCAGCCATTTCTCTCCAAGGAAATATTTGGCATTTATTGACCTAGCAGCCAGTACTGTTTTCGGTTGAAATTTATAAAATCTTTCACTTAAAACACTATTTTTAGGAAAATAGGTTTCTCAAATCCAGTAGCTGTTATCACTCTTTCCAGGTTTGATAAAGGTTTCCTTCCTAACCTTTTATTTGAAGTAGTTTTGATTATGTCATTATTTTCTCTTCGAGTGACATGTGCTATCCATTTTAGTTGTTACGGCTGTTGGTAGTCCTCAAGTGATGTGGTTTCTGTTACTCGATGCAGCTCTTTTTGTGATTTTGTCGCCCCTGTCCACAATGTTCGAAGAAGGATTATCTTTGCCAAGACCTTCAGCATTTAATCACTCAAATCCTTTTTTCACCATTAATCTTAGAAAGCGGTTTAGATATTTTTGAACGGTTTTGGCGCCATTCATGACATTCATATGAATGTCTCGATCTTACGAAACTATTTAAGAACATGAATCGAGTTTTAAGGTTGATGTTTTGGTTATGTAGCAATTTGTGGTATTGTGTGAAACTATCTCTGGAACAGCCAAGTATGGGTTCTATTTTCTTTTCTTCTATGCTTAGTTTGTTGCAGATGATCCATACGACAAGGTATCTGAAGTGTTTAGTATTTACTAATTAAACATCCTCAATGGGTGTGGTGAGATTAGCTGTTTCCTTTCAGTATTCGTTGACCGAACAATCAGTGTTAATGTCGGTAGAAATGTATAAAATCTATTTAATTAAAACAGTTTTTTTTCAGGAAATTAGATTTCTCAAAGATAGATATTCATGGTTCTTTGTAATATCGATGGGAATTTCCTTCCAAACTTTTTGTTTTTGGTAGTATGGAAAGTCAAAAATCGTTATTTTCTCTTTTAGTTACATGTACTACCCATTTAAAATATATATAAAAGGTGTAATATAGATCTTTTCATTTTTTTTCAAGCCATATCCTCCTGTCGTTAGTTTAAACTGACACCCGCTTTATTCCCTCTATTGTGACCATTATTAACCCTAGAACACTAAACATCAATTAAAGTTACACCACAACTAACCATGGGTATATCCTACCCGATTTTGAA